TTTGCATTGTTACCTTTCTTTGTCTATGCTAAGTAAGTAAAGATCGCATATGCAAATTGCTAATACCCAATACTTATAAAACCAGATGAAAATTAAACAAGACTATATTCTCCCCAGCATTAATTTTCTTACTCCATGTTTTACTTCAATATCATCGCTTCATCCCAATGCTTGATGGACTATCTCACCGTGTGCCTTCAGCTCCGCACCCCCTTCCTCCAGTGCTTGCTCTGCCTTGATATACGGAAGGGTGACAGCAAACGGCCTGTCGCATTCCTGCAAAGGATGTCTCAATGTTACTTCAAAGCTTTCAGGGCTAAATACAATAATAATTAAGCTGTCCCACAGGCACAATGTTTTTAAGAGTGGTTGTACATGCTGGTTATTAACCTTTCTCGAAGCAGTTTATTTTTTCAAACATAATATGGCAAGCAGTAACCAACACAAAGTGAATTATAATATGAGTTCACATGTTTTATCCTTTTCTTTTACAAACTGTATTACAATACTCATGTCCTAATAAGTTGAACATCAATCATTAAAAGCTTTCCCTTATAAAAGAAGTTGTATTTGCTCATCAGAAAGGTTTGTTATAATATTTTCCTTGTAACATTAGAAAGTATAAATATATGAAGATAAATAGAGTAATTATGTAATATAACTCAATTATGTTCAATAGATACACAAATTCCAACACTCCCCCACAGACATATTAACAAGTTTAAAATATGTTTTTGATTGTTATGTGAAATATAACTGTTTTCCAGCTAAAAGAATGCTATGTCCTCCAATTCCTGCTCAAATACTTTATTCAAAACTACATCTCAAATTACCTTATTCAAAACACATATTTTCTATTGTGACATTTGACATATTTTCATAGTCGTTTAGTGGCCAAAAATAGTGAATAACAGCGCATTGACGTTACTCTGAATAGAAGGAATAAAAGACATAAAAATATTGGGTATCATTACCAGTTAAAAATATTTGATATGTCAAGTAAAAATGGCCAAGGACCAAAACGAAACTGTGCATATAACTTCACGTACAACAGAATTTTATAAACGAGATTAATTGAAAAGCCATAGGTTTTTCAAAATTGGCTGGATTTCAATAAAAAGGCTCGTAGGCAACTTCAAACGTAAAAAAAATGCTGAAAATTCATTCACTAATGAAGAGTTACAGAAATTGGAGCTGATGAATTAAATCATTAATATACATTTTTAATAACAGCAAAAACTTACTTTACTGTTTATAGTATATACTATTGTATATATGTCTTATGATAGTTATTGTTTCTGAATAAGTTTTAATAAAATAATTAATTATGTTCATGCTTTGAAACAAAGAATTACCCCAAACATACAGTATTCACTTGATGTGATTTTATTACCAGAACTGATTCTGGAATTATCAATGTCAAGTTTTTAACATCCGCACTGCTGCAAAATCTTTAGATGAAATTCATTTGTTCTCTTCTATATTCCATATTCAGAGCTTTTTAGCTATTTTTAAAACACTTTTAGGTTTAAGTCAGATGATAGGGAGAAAATTTGGCTGCAAAATTAGGTCGCCTTTGTAATGTGAAGAAGCAAAAACAACTGACAGCAATGAAAGCACATTCAAACATATTTCATATATGTATAATGTATAAAGTACAAAATTAAAATGTAATCTATTTTGCAGAAAGATTGTTGGACTTCAGAAAATCTTTCGTGCGGAAAACTTCCCCTCATTGATCGCATTTGCATTCAAGATTGGTTCTTGAGGGATATCTGTACATTATCATAAGTAATTAATGTATAAAGTACAAAAATAAGATTAAATCTATCCCAAGAAGAATGTTGGTTGACTCTCAGAAATGCATTCAAATATGTGTGTAAGATACATTTGTACATTATACATAAGTAATTGATTTTTTATTGTTCTAATACTTTAACAACAATACTACAGACATAAATAAAAAACTATTTTAACATTATTGTTTCCTTATGAACAGAAATTTCAAAATGCAGAGTTCACCTGCACTGAACATAAAAGGAAAATAGGCAAACTGCTCATGAAAGTATGTTATAAACACCATGATTCAAAGGACTTACAAAGTAGCTCATTTAAAAATATTAGACTATTTATCCCACTTAGGACACCAAATAAGTATGTTTAAACCAAAACGAAACACATTGAATAAATCTGAATCATAGGCCTCTTTGGCCAGAGTTATTCAATTTATCTTGCTAGTCCTGTGCTGTATCACATCTAGGTTGCTAAACTTTTTAACCATTTATCATGGCCTTCCTCAGGACTGTCTGCAGGTTACAAACCACCCTGAGGAGACCCATGACCAAGATGGGGGAACATTGGCACCACAGGCCTTTCAATGTGGCTCATACAGAAACATTTCATGCAAATTTCAAAATTCATACAAAATTACTTGTGGATCAATCTACAACACAACAAATAAGCTCAAACTGCTTGAAGTCACATTTTTATTGAAAAAAAATAGTTATTTTAAGATTCTATCTCAATTTCTAGTAGTTCGTAATATAGCCAAAAGAATAAGAATGCTGAACAAGCGAAAACAAGAGAAACTTACTTTCATTATTATCCTCATCTTCATCATCATGCCTTCAGAATAAAGTCCTTCTTCATCTAAACCACCGAAAAATCACATTGTAAATACTACTTTTCTATTTTTAGTATAATTTTTTTCTCAACAGATCATAATAATTTCAACTAAAGGACCATTTCATAACATTTTTATCTGCCAAATACTTTCTTTAATCATAAAATAAAGACTGAAAGAAATTTAATAACTATTTATGCTTTTTTTATGAAATCAAATTTTCTTTCAGATTGTAATTCATTTTGTCCATTTTTAGACACCATTTGAAGCATTTGGTTTAGAAATGAGTTGAAATGATATATAATCAAAATAAGACATTATTAAGAGAGACATAAAATAGGTTAAAATATTAAGAATATAGCTCCTTATTCAATAATGACTTAAATTGTAATACTTTCATTCACATTCTGAATAATTGAAGTTGTCTTTTACAGGCTCTCAACATATGGATATATGGAATATTTTAAAAAGAGCTAATTGCTTGTATTATTATAGACAGCTACTCAGTTAAAAACTCAATAATCATAAAAAGCCATATTCATGAAAATCTAAAAACTAAAATACATTTTTTTTTTTTTTATTTCAGTCTTTATTTGATATTTAGCAGACAGGTTTAGTTTCAGTAATACTCACAGTACAAGCTGAAGTGACAGATTCCTTTTTGTTGTTATCATACTCATTTTTGCTAGATATTTCCTCTTCATCCTAGACAAAACATTAATTGACAATACTTTTTTCAATATTATAATGCTTATACATTATGTATCCTCATAACTTGCAAAGTGTATTTGAAAATTCACAACTACAAAATTTGCTACTGCCTTATGACACCCAACAGTAATATTTCTGGTCCCTAGTAAGACATTCACAACTCTGAAAAATGATTTTTTTCCCTCCAGTCCTAATTCATGGATCTTGACATATTGTTTCTACAGAGCATAATCATTAATAGAAAATAATAAAAATAGTCAAAAGAGACTTAGAAGAAAGACACTTTTTTGTGGAATTCAAATGTCCATGCAGATAATTCACACAGTATGAAATAGTACATTGTAAGGGTAGGTTAATAAAATATCCTTTGTTGTACCAATGTTTCAGCCATTTATTTGGTTTTAGGGCTAGATAGGCTTAGGGCTAAGATACAAGATATTACATAATAAGTAGTACTACAGTACAAAAAAGAGAGTGGAAAGAAAAAAAGATACAAGCACAAAACTTCCTATACAACATGTTACTTTAGTAACACACATGTGCAATTCACTATTATAAATCATCATTAGGGCTCAGACGTTTAGGTAAATACATATTTTTCCCTCTCAAGTCTGAGCATTGAAAGCTAGGTTAAAATTCAAGTTCATAGTTTCCATGTACCAAATTTTATTTCACCTACAAATAAATATTTTGATTAAGTTACACAAAAATAAATATTTTAGTGAACAGAAATAATATTACATATTTCACTAATTTTATAATTGAATAAATGAATATTTTGTGTACTTTAAGTTAAATACTTTAGAGTGTTTTGAAGCCTTGCCAGTTTGGAATGCAGTAGTTGATTACACATCACAAGTTACAGTGGGGCTTCTTTGATTGAGTGTTGTGGGTCTGGTTCACGACCTGCTCAAATTCTAAGCCTTAAAGACTTCATTACAACCTCTCAAAACATATGAGGGGTATTTCTAATACTACTGTTGATTCAGGCAATGACACCTCAAACAATTACATAAACTCAAAACCCAAGCAGCTTCCAAATTTCTTCAGATTGCACAGACGAAATGTGCAGAGTGATAAAGAGGATGACGCCACATTTTACTTCTGATACATCTCTCGATCTGGGTTTCATGTAGGTAATACATAAATGTTTTCGGTATTGTAACACTTATTTTTCACTTTTTAAGCACAAACATTTTTGTGTTTTTTTCTTAATACCTAAAAGTCCAAGCCCTCATCATGACAAGTGTGAACAAAGGCCCACTCCATCCTGTTGTTACACAAACTGAACAGTTATTTGTTATTATTAGTTTCATTTTGTTTTATTCTTGTCATTTTTTTTCTTTTCAATACTGTAGTACTAGTATTACATAACACCATATGTCTTAGAGAGAAATATATGGCCAAAATGTTAGAACTGTAAAAGCAAAGAATACCTCGTTCCTCGCAATCCTCAATTTCATTTAACATCAAGGTTAAGATCAACATGGGAATTCACACAGTAGTAACTTAAAAACATTTTATTAACAGCATGTTACCAAAGCTGAAAATCACAACTCTTAACTAATACTTTAGCTGCCAACACTAGAAAGTTAAAAACATACAATTTAAAAACTGAAGTGTGTCCTGTAACATTTCTAAATGTTGGCTGCTCTATGGCATGAATATAAATAACGCCTAATTCTTACAGTTAATTTCTATTTATGAACCAACGTTTTTAAGTAAAACTGTACTTTTCAATATATTTAATATATTTCTGCATGAAACACCATCATTCTAATAAGGTAACATGCAGTGATTCTCAAATTGAAAGTTTTTAGATTATTGTTCAGTAGAAAATGAGTAATTTTAGCACTTCCAAAATATCTCATAAAGAATGTTGTTATTATTACTTTCATCTTTAACCTTAAATCAGAACTTTTGGTTTTTACAAATCACAACCCTGTTAAAATCCCAATCTACTTCAACCAAACTAAGTACAAGAGTTGGTATGAATTATTCTTCTGGTCAAATATCATATGCAGTTTATAATACTTTAGTGGCAATTAAAATGTTTAAAATAATCTCAATTCTAAAAAATGCTAATTTTAAACATACAAAACAGTTCATGATTCGGTATTTTTTGTAGCTACTGTCAGCGCCAACCAGTAAGAGAGAAATTAATTAAACACTTTAATTTAAGAATCCAATAAAATTAAAGGAGGCTATAATGCAAAATAAAAAATTTGGTCATTATCAAATCGCATGGTAATACTAGTACACCAATATGAATCGTCAGTTTTGAATATTAACTTTTATTCTTCAGTCATGACACTTTCATTTCCATCCTTACATCTCGCTTTTAGTTAGCAAACATTTATACCACAAGGGCTTCTACTCAATTTTAATGTTTTAACTAGTTTCTGGGGCACTTAAAATCATTATGTAATATACTACAGAAGTTAACTAACAAAGACCGAGTCAGAAAGATATGCAAAATGTCAAAAGCGCTGCGCCCATAATACATGTCTATCAAAATTGTTGAAATTGTAACTCGTTTGTAACGGACAACCAAATCATAATACAAGATTCTTACATCGTCCTCTGTTTTTATAACCACTTCTATCAAGGAAGATACATCCATTGGGCCTGTTAATCTATGAATGCACCAATTAATTAATTATCTTTAATAACCCACAAAACGCTAAAACGCGATATGCGTTATTTTGACAGCACATGGTCTTAGAGCCGACAAAGAATGACAGGCAGATGACAGGTATTACTCGCGCAACTTTTCTTGAACGATGACC